CCCCAAAACCCCAAAACCCCGTATGTCCTAGATAGTTTTTGAATCGTTGTAATTCAATTCTAATTTACAAATTTTTAAAAATATTCAATAGACTTTTGTAAATTTCTAATTTGAATAATAGGAGGGATTCTTTAGGAGTTTTAATTTTTAATACATGCATAAAAATCAATCACAATTTGTGCCAAAAACTCACACTATTTGTCTTCTGTTAATATTGCTCTCTTCAGCTTGCAATTTTGCTCAAGGTATCTTTCATTTTAGTTCATTAAACATTAACAGCAGGCGAAGTTGGTATCACACCTCTTATTTCTGGAGTTGATCTGTTCAGATGAGGTGATTATCTTGGGATCACAGCAGCATCACTTGCTGGAGGAACTGAGATTATGTTTTAAGGGTAGGGCATGTCTATGACTGCTGAAAATTTTTAAGTGTTGTTCACAAAATAAGACCTAAACTTTGAAGGAGCAGGTCAACCAGTTTCCAGTAAGTATAGACTGCAAATATTATCTATCTCTTAATTTCGACTTTACTAATTTCCAATAATTAACTCCATTAAATAGAAGACAACTCATTCAACTCTAATACCCGAAATGGAAAACTCTAATATACTACTCCGTCTATAATGACTCTTTTCGAGACAACTTACGATAAACTAGACAGTGTTGAATAGATTTCATTCGACTTATCTCTAATTGATAGTAATCCAACTACAGCTAGAGTGAACTAGCTACTATGTAATTAAAACCATGGCTAAAAATGCAGAATTACTATGAGCAGATCATATACTCCCATACTCTATTTCATGTAACCACGAGTTGTCTATCATGGCTCAGAAACTTCATTCTACGTTGACCCTAAGAGTTCTTAGAACTTCAGACTAGAACACGATCTACCATTCGTAGAAGGTAGAATAGATGGAAGAACTTTAGATTTTGAAGAATTTGTTTCTGAAGATACAGTTTTTACAGCCTGGACTAAAAACTCAATTAGGGCGAAAGTGTTCGATATACCACCAAATCGAAGCTCCTAAGTAAATCTAAAATGGCGAGTTGGTAATAGTTTGCATAAGGATACCTAGATGGTTCAATGTGATGTAGAAAATAAGAACTGCTATAAAGTAAAAGTAGTCCCAGTAATAAGTAAGTTGAGTTCGAATGCAGGCTACAATACAGGTGGCTAAATATTGCAAATCGATGGTTATGGTTTTCAAAGTGACAACATCAGCATCATAATAGATGGGATTGAATGCAAAGTGCTTTCTCATTCTTTAAAAAAATTAACATGCAAAACTGGAGCTCAGCCTAAATCGTCTACAGACTAATTCTTTGTTGGATCAAATGGTTTGAAAAGAAGTTTTTATAACATAACTGATTAGTCTATTGGATAATCTTGGAGTCGACTAGTGTCAGAAAATCTTTAAGAAATTTCTATAGCACTTTCTTTTGAGACTCAACGTAACCAGATGGACGGATATTCTGGAAATATCTTCAAGGGTTATTTCAAGCCACCCACTTCAGGTAGATACAGATTCTACATGGCTTGTGACGATGCTTGCTTCCTTTTCATGAATGTTAATGGAACTAACACTAAAGATCCTGCTGGTGCTATTTAACTTATGAATTCTGGCTATACATCATATAGAAACTATCTTAACCCAGATGATACTAAAAGAGTAACAGAATGGCTAAATCTCTCAGCTGATTCTTATTATTACATCGAGGGGCGTCATCTTTAGTACACAGGTGGGGATGAAATGGTAGTCTCTGTTGAAATTGATCTCAATTTTCCAGGACATCAAAATGCTATGAAGGAGATCTAAAGACTTAGAGTAGATCCAGAGAACATAAGGGAATAACACAAGATTGTAATTAAAAATCCTGATAGTGGAGATTTTAACATGGGATTTTAAATTCCAGGCGAATCTACTCTATATATTGCTAAAATAAATTCAAGAGCTACAGCTGATTAAGTTAGAATTTCTCTAAACTCTTACTGGTCATCATACTTTGGTTGCACAATATCTGTCGCTCTAGTAATGTAAGATGCATCAGGCAATAAAGTTTAAAATATGTAAAATTCAGTAGTTAATACTTACACTATATCTATCAATAAAGCTCAGAACAAAAACACACTCACATCTCAGCCAGCCATTCAGCTACTATCATCTAAATCAATTATCTTATTCCTAAGAGTTACATAAAAGTCTACTTAGTAGCTAGCAGGCAGTTTCATCATCAAGTGCGCTCTGCAAGATGGTTCATTGAATACCACTGCTGATATCCAAGCATTATACTCCCCAAGTCAAATCAAAACTGCCATTGAGAAAGCATGCCCCAACTACAAAGATAAGATAGACATCTGGGATGGCACAGCCTACAGCTACTATGTGGATGGCAGAGACATAATGATTAGATTTACTGATATTAACTCAGACATTCCATAATTTATAATCGATAATTCTACAACGAATGCTATTATTGGGGCTAATGTCAGCTTCTCGTATTAGACTACCAAGCAATATGGTGAGTCTTTATTCTATGAGCCAGTTCCATTTGAATTCATCTATACTCAAGAGGATAAGCCACAAGTCTTAGTTACAGTTGATGGACTTCCAGCTGTATGTTCTTCTCTTGATTGTGATTACTCCTATATCTCTTCTGACAGCTAAATCAGCTAATTCTATCTTTAAGGACTAAGATTGACTATAGAAGGTACAAATCTTCCAGATACATCAAAAATCTAATCGGTTTAGTTCTCAAATGTAAATTGTGCTATTTAATCAGCATCAGGCACTTAGGTTGTATGCAACCTTCCTTCGAAAGTAGCAGGATCATGGGAACCTTTTCTTACTGATGATAAGGGTCTAATACGAGTGTACGAAGCCACTGGTAATGTATTTCTAGATGATAATAGTATCTTTGTTCCACTAATAGTTTCAGGAATTTCACCAAGCTCTGGTATCAACCCCAACGGTGGGAGCAAACTTAAAATAATAGGTGAAAATTTCCCAACTTCTATCAATGATGGTAGCTCTATTTCTATTTCTTTCGCAGATTCATAATAATGTGAGATATTTAGCTCAACTGCTACATTAATAAAATGCATCCTTCCTAAATTTGCATAGACAGGCACTTAAAGTGTCATAGTTATTGTCAATGGATAAAAAGATAATTCCTTTTCAATCGAAATTTCTTAAAACCCAGCAAGTCTAATATCACTTACCCCAGAATATGTTTCTCCAGTTCTCAAATAGCTAATTCTTATTCAAGTAGATCCTAGTTTCAACGGAGTCCTTGACATGAATGAACTTACTGTGACTCTTGTCAATGTTGATGCTTCAAATGCCTTCTCAAAATAGATAAATGTTGTTGGGGTCAATAATACAGCAAAAACTATCACTGTTAAGTATGGAGGCATATATAGTGGGATTTACAATGTTAATGTCTTTACTGATGCTTATGGTATGCTTGATAACTCAGCTGTATAGCTAAAGGCTTTAGGAGAAGTACAGAGTATCTCACCACCATCTGGTTCAATATATGGTGGGACCTTGATAACCATTACCGGTAGAGTATTCTCAACAGATCCAACAGATAACCCTGTCAGAATCGGCTCGACTGACTGTCTTGTTGAATCTTCCTCAAGTTCTTAAATTGTATGCAGAACTTAACCTAGAAATCCAAGTTAAATTTCAGATACTTTAATTGCTTTCCTTAAAACTTCAGAAGAAGCTGTCTGTAGTACTGGTAATGACTGCAATTTCACCTGGTTATTAGATTCTGAATTACCCGAACTTACAAATTTTGAACAGAACTCAGTCTCGTTTAATGCTGATATCAAGGAATATTAGGTCACCCTCATAGGTACTAATTTCCCTACTACTGTCTCAGATGTCATCTTTTAGATAGATGGTTTTGCTTAGACTATTATATCTGCTTCAGAAACTAAAATTGTTGTAGCAATTACAAATATACTCTCTCAAAATTCCAAAAATATTCAGTTCTATCTTCCATCAGGAACTCCTAAAGGAGCTGATCTCCTCACTTCAATTGGAATAAATTTAGAACCTATCATCATATCAATATCACCAAGCCATGGATCATCTGGAGGATCATTGGTCACTGCAATTGTAAAAGGTCTTGGCATATTATCAACTGATGTGACTCTGACCTCTAATAATAGAGATATTTGTGAGTCAGTTTCAATCGCAGAATATGGAGTGCTTGGATGTTAAACTAAACTAATTAGCATTTCGGCTCAAGATTTGTAGGTAAAGGTAAATAATCTTACTTATTCATGCACTATACCTTCACAATGTGTTTATGAAACAAGTGAGTCAATGCCCTCTATCTCATCTATATCTCTTGTTACAGGATCGACATAAATGGTGATATTAGGTACTAATTTTTTGACCATAGGATATCTAGCCACTGTTAAATTCCAAGGATTAGAAGCTGATTTAGTAACTATTGATTCAGACTCTTAGGTCTCAGCTACTTGGAATCACGGTGTGCCATTATCAGCTAATCCAGTTGCTCCAATTTTGGTATTTTCTAGCTTAATTTCTAGTTCCATCAAACACACTGCATCAGGAACTGCTACAATTTCTAATACTTTTTCTTAAACTTCTATAAATTAAAATGTTGATTGCTCATTTGCAGGCGGATGTCTTCTTTAAATTAACTAACCAGGCCTTGCTTCTACATTGACTTAAAATTAAAATTCGGTGAGGATCTGCGATAAAATATGCTAACTTGATGCAGTTGAATCCTCTAGCACTATTATGAAATGCAAAGTTTCAAAACTCTCGACTACCTACTCTGTAACAAAATTCAAGATTGAGGAAGAAAGTTACATCACAGGCTCACTCTTTGTCTCAAATACAACTGGGATAACAGCACTTTTAGATGATGATAATTAAACACCCTATATCGATTCAGTTTCATCAAATTGCTACTTTGGAATTTCGTTTGCGGAGGGTCATGTTGGTCAAATTTCAGAAGTCAAATACTTCATGCCAGTCTTTGTAAAAGCAAACTTTGTTGGAAATTTAAAATTTTAAGGCTCAGAAGATGGACTAACCTATACTGATATATTTATTGTTGGCCAGGAGATTCATGAAGGCTGGAACTATTACAGTTATAAAGATAACAATCTTAAATATAGATACTACAAATTTTAAGGTTATCGGATTGGGTCTTGTAGAGTAGGTGAGTTGAAATTTAGAGGAATAGAAACAATTGATAACAATGATGATAGTTATAATTGTCCAGTCACTGTTAATCTCTAAGGTTAAAGTCCTATTCAGTTAACTGGGTCAGTAACTTACAAAGCAGCCTTGACGCCAAAGCTTTTATCAATAACACCAAGATATGGAAAAGTTTAAGGCTGCGAGACTATCACTTTAAATGGAGAGTCCTTTTCAAGTCTAATATCAGATTACTCAATAAAAATTGATAATATTTAATGCACAGTTTAAACTGCTACACCTACTTAAGTTACTTGTATCACTGGTAAGAGGCCAGGTCTCTTTCCAACTCCAACACTGGAATTCAATATTAAGGGATAAGGCAATATAGCCTCTCAAGGAAAGGTCTTCAGGTATGTAAACTACTGGTCTCTTTTTGATACCTGGGGAGGAGAATTCCTGCCAATTGAAGGTGAATCTGTTTATGTACCAGCTGGTCTTCATCTTCTTGTAGATATTGACTCCACACCAATTTTAAACGCAGTTGTAGTTGAAGGTTCACTTATATTTCCACCAAGCGCTGATCCAGAATATCATAGAACATTTGATGCTCACTATGTCATGCTAGAGGGTGGATATATGGAAGTAGGCACTGAAGAATTTCCATACAATTCAAGGCTCACAATTACCATGCACTCTAATAAAGAATCACCAGAGCTGCCTATCTATGGGAACAAATGTATTGCAGTGAGAAATAGTATTCTTGAACTACACGGAGTCCCTAGATTTCCAGCATGGACAAGTCTAGCATCCACTGCTGAAATTGGGGCTACACAAGTTACTTTGATTCAAGCTATCGACTGGAAAGCAGGCGAAGAAATTGTAATAGCTCCCACAGGCTATGATAGCAGGGAAGCTGAGGTTAGAAGGATAGTGTCAATTGACAGAAGAAACTTGAACAAACCTATTATTACTTTGGATTGGCCCCTTCAGTACAAACATTACTCAAATATCGAGTACTACGAGGATAATTTCATTGAAATGAGAGCAGAGGTTGGTTTATTGACAAGAAACGTTGTCTATAGAGGAGACCCAGAGACTTCATCTAAGAATTAATTTGGTGCTCATATCATGCTTCATTCTCATGGGGATGAATCAGTAATAGGAAGAATTGAGTACATTGAATTAAAAGATGTGGGTTAAGCCTTCTAGCTTGGAAGATATCCAATCCATTTCCATTTAATTGGTACTGTGCACAACTCTTATATTAGAGGAAATTCAATCCATCATACCTATAACAGGGCAGTAACCATTCATGGAACACATTATCTGAGAGTTATTAATAATGTTGCATATCATACTATGGGACATACATTCTTTATTGAAGATGCTGTTGAAACTAAGAACTTGATTTAAGGAAATTTAGCAATTTAGACAATGGCTTCAATGTCTTTACTGATAACTGACTAGACACCAGCAAGTTTTTGGATAACTCATCCTGATAATATTTTTAAAGACAACCATGCAGCAGGCTCAGATAGATATGGATTTTGGTTTGATACCTAGCCGAATCCTACTGGTCCATCATACTCCTCAGATATCTGTCCTTAATATGCTCAACTTGGAGAGTTCAGTAATAATGTAGCTCATTCAAATGGGAAATATGGGTTGAGAATTTTCCATAAACTTATTTCTAGATAAAATCCTTGCTTGCCTCTTATCTACAATGAAACTAACGTTGAAGATCCTTATCATTAAAATCCTCTCGTCACTTCATACTTCATAAATCTTACAAGTTGGAAGAACGTAAGAAATGGAGCTATTGCTGAGTAAGTAGGAGATGTCAGATTTGTCAACTTCAAAGTGGCTGACAACCTAGTAGGTGGTATTGAGTTTTCATTGACAGGGGATGTTGCAGATGGCTACGCTTAAATTATTGATGCTCTTGTAATTGGCCATTCATAAAATGCTGAGTAAATTACTATGGATTCAACTTTTCATGGAATAATTACTCCTAGGTCTGAGAATTTTACTGTTAATGGCGCCAAATTTTATAACTTTGATTAGCCAGGCCATGCTTGCTTTGGGTCATGTTCTCATTGTTTCTTTCCAGCATCTACAGATTCAGGGGCTAGAACTGTAACATTCTAAAGAATTTACTTCCATTCAACTGCAACTACTAAGATTAAATATTAATATCCATTCAGAGATATCTTCTTTGATTTAGATGGTTCTCTTACAGGTAAAGGACCACACACTTGGGCTACTCCATTCTGGCAGCATAATGTTTAACCAGAATGTGAAGTCGATTTAGCAGTCTATGATGGAATTATCTGTGACTCAACTGTTCAAATTAGAAGATTGGTTCACTATAACTATGCCCCTAAAATCTTTGATAATATGGAAATGAAAGTACTCAAATTTGATGACAACCTCTACACTGATAAATATGATTTCATAACTACTAGAAACTATTTGACTGATTATTCTATAGTTCCATTTAGACCTAAAATAAATCCTGTAAATCATTGGGCAATGCCTTATGTGACTGGCCATAAATATAAGATTCACTGGAGATTTGGGCTTGATTTCACTCAAATGCAAATAGATTTATCTAACAGATGGACTACCTCTGACAAAGACATCTACTTTATGTACAATTTCACAGATGTTAGAGCTAAGGTAGAATTCATTAGTGGTGAATCAATTTAGAATAACGCTACTTTATTAAACAAAGTCTAGAATATGCTACAGACTGGAGATAACGTTGTTTACAATGACTCAGAGACAAGAGAAATTCATACCATTTTCAATGGAAGAAATTTAACAAAGAAGTCTTTAGTAATGAAAGGATACAGATGTATAGGTTCTTGCCTCTCTCCTATTAGTGACTAAAATAATGTTGAATCTATTTTTAGAAGATGGAGCGACCCTAGTTCATGGCCTAATGGAAAGGTTCCTACAGATGGAGAAAATGTTGTTATTGAAGCTGGCTGGAACATGCTTTATGATGTTCAGAACAGCGCAGGTCCTATACTGAAAATGCTGTAAATAAATGGCAGACTTACTTTTGATAACGAGGATGAGAAAGGAAAGAATCTTTACTTATATGCGAAGTATATCTTCGTTAGAGCAGGAGCCCTAATTATCGGTAATGAGACAAAACAATTTTAAGGGGTTGCTAACATTGTACTTTATGGTGAAAAAGCAAATGAACAAATTGTTTATGATTAGGCGATTGAGGCTGGAAATAAAATATTAGTAAACACAGGAAATATTTCAATTTATGGCCTAGCCAGGAATAAATTGACCAGACTTCGAGAGTCAGTATATTAAGGAGATAAAAAATTACTAGTAGATGTAGGTTTAGAATGGAAATCTGGTGAAAGAATTGCATTGGCAGCAACTACACTTAGATATCTTGACTCTGATTATGCCATTATTGAAAATTATGATAATTCTACTGGGATTTTAACAATCAAAACTGGATTAACATCATATCATTATGGAGCAAAAGATTCAACTGGGCCAACTCATAATGGAATTGACATGAGAGGTGAAGTACATCTCCTTTCTAGAAATGTCAAAATTCAGGGAAACAACTCAGAAGCATGGGGTTGCTAGATTTTAACTAGCGACTTTGTAGAAATGAATGGTGCTATTCGAAGTGGTCACACTTACATGAATAATGTTGAAATTTACAACTGCTCTTAATATGATACCTTCAAAGCTGAAATAGCAAACTCTGCAATCTATACTGGATGGGGATATGGAGCTTAATTTGAAGATGCTGCGAATGTGAAACTGACTAATAATAGCTTTTACTTCTTCGTAAAAAAAGGAATCAATATCCAATCAAGCTCTGTAAATTTATCAATAAAATAATAATCAATATAGAATATTACTCTTGATGGGAATCATGTCATGCATGTTAGTGAAAGAACCTTCATAAAAATGGATAGAGTGTTTGAACCAACAGGTGGCATTCTTGTATGTACTGAGCTAGGAGATACTTGCTTAGATATCAGTTTGGTAAATAATGTGGTATCAGGAGCCCCTTTTACTGGATATGCCATGTATGGTTACGCTTGTGGTGAAAAAGATTCAAACGTATTCAGAGACAATATTGCACACTCAATCAAGGATACTGGCGCTATTATATTTGCAAATAAAAGTGATCCTAGGTAATTTACTTGCATGCAAGCTTCTCGATTTGCAGCCTACAAGTGCGGTCTTGACGGTGCTATTGCATTTAATCACTAAGCTTATAAGAAAATTATCTTCTCCTAAATGACTTTTATTGATAATGGATATGGAGGCACTCCAATGGTTGCTATTGAAGGAGATGATTTAGAGGCAGAGATGAGGGATTCATTTTTCTATGGAGAGTCTGATGCAAGAGATTGTATGATAGAGAATGAATGCCATACCTAGAATTCTTATGCTTGCATCCATAAATCTGCACTTTAATTGGCTTACTTTGCTATTGAAGGCAAAGAGCCTTTGCCTAAGAGTGAATGCTTAATTCCTATTAGTAAAATTAAAAGAGATGCCTCATATGGAGGGAAAACCACTTACACTAATCTATAGTTCTTCAACTTCAAAAGTAACAAGACTTATTGCGGAATGCAATAGGTTTTATTCAGATTAAATCAAAATGCAACGGATTATACTCCTAGAGCCAGATTTATTTCACCTAGATTTGAAAATATTCATCAAGATGCAATGGCTCACCTTTATACTCCTCCTGATATGTGGACAACCCTTGATGGATGCGGAGATTATCCATGCACTGGACCAAGTAATGCCCTTCTATTATTTGAAGGAGCAACCTTTTCAGGTACAATAAAGCCAAAAGATACTTATAAAACCTTCTAAATTATTCCTAATAATAAGGCAACTGTTTAAGGATATAGTAACTGTGTAAACTATCCAGCATGGAATGCAAACCATTGCACTAGTGATAATCTTGGAGTGCTTCTCTTTGAGAGTACTGATGATGATAGATATAAGAGAATGATTAGTCCTATCTACATAGTCTGTAATTAGACCAACTCAAAAAATACCTTGAATACTTTTAGTGATCATCTTTGGGATGGATTCTACACTAGTCAACTGAGATTAGCAAGGTGGCCAACAATAATTGAAACTGGCCAAGCGAATGGCACATACAAGACTTATGATATTAGATATTCAGGTACTCTTCCATCAAATTAGAGATTTTCTCTTTTTGCAGATGATTCTGCTGTGATTCTTAGAATAGATTATACCAAAACAGGATCTTATATAGTCACTGATTTCAATGGAAATACAATTGATTCCAACAAATGGAATGACAATATCAAGCAGCAGGATTTATTAAAAAGTTAAAGATGTGGTGAAAATAGATATTTGGGAGTGTTTAACATTCTAGAGTTCTTTATGCCAGCTGGATGCAAAATAATGATAAAGTCAATTGGGTTTATAAAAACATTAATCAGATTAGATTGGAATATGGATGCTTTTTATTCAGATGGAGGTACAACTAAATTCATAGATAGAGTTGCAGGAGCTTTAGGTATTCATGCATCTACAATAAAAATTGTTGCTGTATACTAGGGTTCTGTTGTTATTGATTTCTATATAATTCCAGATAATGCAGCAATAACAGCTAGTTCAATTTAAAAAAGTATTAAAAATACTCTCATGTCAAAGCCAAATGCTTTTGGAGCACCTGTCTTGAGTGTATCAGCTGATGGCACAGCTATCATTACTGATGGAAAGATTGTACTAGATACAAATAAAAACTCTGGAACTGACAATAGTAATGGTACAGCTAGCAACGATTAAAGTGGCCCTAAATCAGTAAATGTAGATACTAAAGATTCTGAAAAATTTGTTTCTGTAAGTTCCTCCTCGAACAACCAAGATTAAGTTAAGTTGATTGTAATCTTGGTAGTCATTATTGTTGTCATTTTAATTGGAGGTATTATCAGTTATTTCATCTATCAAAAGTACTAGAAAAAACACTCTGATTAGAATTTCATGATAGTTAACGAGGGAACTCATTCACAAATTTACACTTAAAGAGATGCCTCAGATTTAGGTGAGCATGAAGTTTACTAGTAACAATACCATCCAAAATCAGTTAACATTTATACTACACATACTTAAAAGGTCAATGAGGCGGATTAAGTGAATAATAATGACAACTTGGATAATCCTAGGACTGGGAATGAATTCAATACCGACCATAGTGAACACAATTCAACTTAGAATTCATAGTCCTAAACTTAAGGTGTAACAAAACTTCCAATGAAAAAGAAATCCTCTATAAAAGTTCAAAATGATAATTAGGAAGAAGTATTAGAAGTATTTCACACACTCTACCAAGAAGAATTTCATCATAAATGAAATCTAATTTATTAAAATAAT